GGGATGGCGAGGTCTCATTTGAATCTGCCCGTGGCCCTCACTGTGCTGGGCCCCCCAGCAGGCCTCGAAAATGGCGGCAGTTTCGCAGATCGCAGCCCCCCAGGGATGGCGAGATCTAATTTGAATCTGCGCGTGCCCTCACTGTGCTGGGCCCCCCCAGCAGGCCTCGAAAATGGCGACAGTTTCGCAGATCGCAGCCCCCCAGGGATGGCGAGGTCTAATTTGAATCTGCGCGTGGCCCTCACTGTGCTGGGCCCCCCAGCAGGCCTCGAAAATGGCGACAGTTTCGCAGATCGCAGCCCCCCAGGGATGGCGAGGTCTAATTTGAATCCGCGCGTGGCCCTCACTGTGCTGGGCCCCCCAGCAGGCCTCGAAAATGGCGACAGTTTCGCAGATCGCAGCCCCCCAGGGATGGCGAGGTCTAATTTGAATCCGCGCGTGGCCCACTGTGCTGGGCCCCCCAGCAGGCCTCGAAAATGGCTGCAGATCGCAGCCCCCAGGGTTGGCGAGGTCTAATTTGAATCGCGCGTGGCCCTCACGAAGCAGCCTCGAATGTGGCAACAGTTTCACAGCAGCCCCCCCAGGATGGCGAGATCTAACTTGAGCCCGTGGCCCTCACTGTGCTGCCCCCCAGCCGGCCTCGAAAGTGGCGACAGGGATCGCAGCCCCGAGGTGGCTGAATCTGTGTGGCCCTCACTGTGCTGGGCACCCCAGCAGGCCTCGAAAATGGCGACAGTTTCGCAGATCGCAGCCCCCCAGGGATGGCGAGGTCTAATTTGAATCCGCGCGTGGCCCTCACTGTGCTGGGCCCCCCAGCAGGCCTCGAAAATGGCGACAGTTTCGCAGATCGCAGCCCCCCAGGGATGGCGAGGTCTAATTTGAATCCGCGCGTGGCCCTCACTGTGCTGGGCCCCCCAGCAGGCCTCGAAAATGGCGACAGTTTCGCAGATCGCAGCCCCCCAGGGATGGCGAGGTCTAATTTGAATCCGCCCGTGGCCCTCACTGTGCTGGGCCCCCCAGCAGGCCTCGAAAATGGCGACAGTTTCGCAGATCGCAGCCCCCCAGGGATGGCGAGGTCTAATTTGGGTCCGCCCGTGGCCCTCACTGTGCTGGGCCCCCCAGCAGGCCTCGAAAATGGCGACAGTTTCGCAGATCGCAGCCCCCCGCGGGCAAGACAGGAAGAGGCGGGAGGGGAAAAGGAGGAAGGGAGGAGAAGGGACGCGACCACACTGCTCTATTCAAAACGAATACCCAACCAAGGAGGGTTGGGAATAATAACAGTGTCAGTATCAGTGTAGTTATTAATAGTAGTGTTATTTTTAGTAGCATTATTATTAGTAGTATTCTTAGTATTAGTATCATTGCTATTATTATTATTAGTAGTAGTAGTGTTATGATTATTAAAAGTGCTAGTATTAGTATTGTTAGTATTGTTTATATAAATATCAGCATCACCATTATCATTAATATTTTTAGTAGTAGTATTACTAGTATTCGTATTACTATTATTGTTTTTCGGCTTCGTCTTCTTCGTTTTATTATTATGCTTAGCATTGGTAATACTAGTATGAGTATTTCCTTCGTGTTATTAGTATAATTAGTTTTCGTAGTACTAGTAATATGAGTGTTACTAATACTATTAGTACTATCATTAGCATATCCTCATAGTAGTATCAGTAGTATTATTAATAGTATTATAAGTACTAGGAATAGGATTGTTCTTCTTATTGCTTTAGTTTGATTGTTATTATTAGTATTAGTATTATTAAATATTGGTATTGTAAGTGTTAGTATTATCATTATCATTATGAGTTGTAAAAAATAGTAGTAGGATTAATATTATTAATCCTCCTCCTCCTCCTCCCCCTCCCCCTCCTTCTCCTCCTCCTCCTCCTCGTCCTCGTCTTCGTCCTCGTCCTCGTCCTCGTCCTCGTCCTCCTCCTCCTCCTCCTCCTCCTCCTCCTCCTCCTCCTCCTCCTCCCCGTCCTCGTCCTCGTCCTCGTCCTCGTCCCTCGTCCTCGTCCCCGTCCCCCTCCTCCTCCTCCTCCTCTCCTCCTCCTCCTCCTCCTTCCTCCTCATTACCTCCTCTTCCTCCCTCCTCCTCCTCCTCCTCCTCCTCCTCCTCCCCTCGCCGCCTCCTCCTCCTACCTCCTCCTCCCCTCCTCCGCCTCCGCCTCCCCTCCGCCCCCCGCCTCCGCCTCCTCCTCCTCCTCCTCGTCCTGCTCCCTGCCCTGCCTCCACTCCATCCTCCTCCTCCTCCTCCTCCTCCTCTCTCCTCCTCCTCCTCCCCTTCCTCCTCCTCCTCCTCCTCCTCCTCCTGCCTCCTCCTCTCCTCTTCCTCCTCCTCCTCCCATCATCGTCCTCCTCCTCCTCCTCCTCCTCCTCCGCCTCCTCTTCCTCCTCCTCCTCTTCCTCTTCTCCTCCTCCTCCTCCTCCTCCTCCTTCCTCCTCCTCCTCCTCCTCCTCCTCCTCTTCCTCCTCCTCCTCCTCCTCGCCTCCGCCTCCGCCTCCGCCTCCGCCTCCGCCTCCGCCTCCGCCCTCCGCCCTCCTCCGCCTCCGCCTCCGCCTCCGCCTCCTCCTCCTCCTCCTCCTCCTCCTCCTCTTCCTCCTCCTTCTCCTCCTCCGCGCCCCCCGCAGCCAGCCCAGCTCCTCCAAATCGCCCCCCGCAGCCAGCCCAGGCCCTCCTACTCGCCCCCCGCAGCCAGCCCAGCTCCTCCTCCTCCTCGCCCCCCGCAGTCAGCCCAGCTCCTCCTCGCCCCCCCCCCCCTCCACACACCCAGCGCGCGCCCTCCGCCCCGACTTGGCCGTCAGATATATCTCAGGGTTTGTATGCTTGCACAACCTCTCGTGTGCTCTCCTCCTGTTCTCCTTCTCTTCCGCAGCAATTTTGCCCCAAGGCCCCGCAGGGGCCAGCTCTTCGGGGTGGGTGGGCGGGGCCATAGTTCGCCGCGATGCGCCATGTGTACTCCTTGGAGTGCGTGGTGGCGACCGATGTGGTGGCCGTCCTGGGCTGGCTGGACGCGTCGCTGGGTGTCGGCCTCTATGCCAGTTTCTCAGCTAGCGCGTCCTACGCAGCCAGGCCAAGTGACGGCCATGAGCGGGAGGAGGAGAAGGCGCCAGGCGACGCCGGGCAGAAGGCGCCAGGTGCTTCCCCAGATGAGACGATAATTTGCAGACGCGGTTGGCCGCAACAGGATCGAGCAGATTGAAGCAACCGAATCAAAAGCCTCACAGCAAAAGGGGTGACAATCGGCCGGGGGACGAAATTACCTCGAAAGTACCTTCGGCGCGCCCAGACCCGCGCAAAACGTCACTCCGCTGGTCTTCCACGGAGCTCACGCAGCTTGCGACAGTGGCGCAGTTGCCAAGATGCGCAGTCCGCAAGGATAAAAGAGCCCAGGGACACACAAAGAAATAGAACCGCGCGAGCGCGCTTCGCGCGCGCTTGGGTTCTAGCGCATGCCATGGCGCGTTGTTCGCTGTGCGTTCTTTTCGGACCAGCTCATTCCATGCCTTACCTTACCTCGTTCTCCAATATTCCTTACACATCCTTCCTCGTTAACCCTCCAGTCTCTCTATCGGTTGTCCTCGCTTTTCGTTTCTTGTCATTATCGTCGACGGCCTCCACTTGCTTGGGGTTATGCGGGACCCTCGAGCTGTTCAGCGCCAGCGTGGGAACGTTTTGAATATGAAGTGTGCTGGCTTGGAGTGTAGGGGGTTCTTGCGGATCTTCCTGTTCGGGCTGCCTTGAATGCCTTGGGGCCACCAAGGGGCCATCTTGGTGGCGGCCAGCGGGCGTCCTCCTGAACCAGCTCGGAACCCTCGTCAGGCCGAAAGAGTCACCCAAAAGCTCCAAGGCGGATCCAGGAGCCCAGGGGAGGCCAATTGGGTTGTGACAGGGGGAGTTTGGGAAAACTGGGCCACCCCAGGGCCAGAAACCCGGTCGTCGGTGCACAGAGCGAGGTGGAGTCATAGCACACTGGTTAGTGCATGAATGGACGAACTGAACACGTGGCGAAGGGTTGCGCCGCATCGCAAAGACATACACTATGATAACTGATTGCGTGTTCCACATGGGAGAAGCGAGTAACGCGAGGATGAGGAGGAGGAGGAGGAGGAGGAGGAGGAGGAGGAACGTGAGGAACGGGAGGAGGGATGAGGGATCTGAGAGGAGTAAGGCGGGAAGAAGTGGAAGGAACGTGGGAGAAGGGGGCAAAAGGCGCTGGACGTTCCAGCGAAGCCCTGTGAACCACTGGGGGGCAAAGTCGAGATGGTGACGCCAAGCCCCCATCGCTGTCATCCCTTATCCATTTCCGTCTCCTCTCCTGTTGCTCCTGCTCCTCATCGTCCTCCCCCTCCTCCTCCGAATTCCCCCTGCTCACAAGGCCTGAATAGCCAACCTGGTTTCACACAGCATGGGGTGACGAAGAAAGTTACACAACGAGGGCAAACAATTTGCAGCGGAATCAGCTCGAGAAGCTCTCATTTTCCTTCTTCAGTTCCCTTATTCACCTGCTCCTCTCTCGTCTATAGGAGGGGACGGTCGGTCGCCGTTCGACACGTCACACACGTACAACATACCAACCTGAGACGACCTCAGGTCCGAAAAGCGAACATTGACGAGGTCTCCTGGTAGAGACGCATCGCTTGGCGCATACTTGCCTGGTCAGTACTCCAAGAGTGCGCGCACATAGCGTAGCGAAACTCCTCGCTGCCCCTAGAATGAAAAGAGTGGACAACAGGACATGAGGTTGATACTTTTCCGACGGATACGCATCGCCCTAGGGCGCACTTGTCGGGTCGATTGCCACAGGCTGCGCACGCAAGGCGGAATGAAGTAAACGATCGCCTCCGCATTGAACACACTGAAACTGTACAGGCGGGGTCCCGCGCCAGACGCGCAACACGATTCTAAAAAGTTGTGTTCTGGGAAAAGTATACAAACCAAAAACGCGGCTGCATCGTGGAGGTCAGAAGGTCCTTTGCGCCGCCGCCCGAGACTAAACATCCCGTGGCTGGCGGGGAGGAACTCGGACCGAGAAGCTCTGGTCACGTGACGTGAGCAGACGGCGAACCCCGTCTGCCTGAGGCGCTCCCAAAAACAAGCTCCTCCAGCCGCCCCTCCTCCTACACCCGTCACCCCCCAGCTCCACGGCCTGGTGAACAGGGAACCGTCGCAGTGCGCAGTCAACCAGACCTGAGAGGAGGGGGGGGACGAGGAGGGCCAGAGAATTCTCAGTCCTTGTCCTCCTTAGCGTCCTTCTGAGCGTCCACCTCGTCCCTGCGGTCCTCGCCAGTATCTTCGCTGAGGTTGGGTAGCTGAGCGTCTGGTGGCCGTCCCCGACGCCCTCGCCAGCGTGCACCTCGCCGGCGCCCCCCTCTTCGGTGTCCTCCTCGTCCGTGTCGCCCAGGACGGACGGCGCGCTCTCGCGACGTGTGCGCGCGTGCATCCTAGGAAGCAGCCAGCCTGCCGCCTCCGGCTGCGCGCGCGCCAACGCCGCCGCGGTGTCCGAGAGCCCTGGGCATCGTCTCAGGGGGCGCGTCGGCGCCTCAGCTGGCGGCCCCCATGCGGCGCGCCAGACGCGCGCGCCTGGGCCGAGCGGGCCGTGGTCGGTGCAGAGCCAGGCGTCCGAGAGTCGGCCCAGGTCGGCCAATTGGCCGAAGGTGTGGCGGGCCGGGAGGCACGGAGACGCCATGCCTCCACGAGAACTCAGGCCAAAAAGAGCAGTGGGCCAGAAAGGCTCGAGACGAAATGGCTATGAGAGGGCCCTGGAATATAGGGGCGTGCTTGCTTCGTCGGTCACGAGAAGGTTGCCGTCGCAACTGGCGCCAAGGCCCACTAGCCCCCTCGGACCGTAGACGTAACGTGGCCATAGCCCGCTGGGGGTTTCTTGCATCTTTGTGCTCGCCTTCCCCCAGCAGACCTCCGACGGCAAATCCTGATCACCCTGAATGGTTCACATAAACACATTCGGAAACAAAATGTATCCGTCCGTGCGTCCATGAACGATCTTCCATTCAACCGTACCAGACGCCACCCATTGCGGAGATTTGGGTGCACGTTGCGACACGCTGTAATGATAACCTCTAACTTGCCTGGCCTCTGCCCGAAACCCTGTGACGTTCAATCCTTGAGCTAGAGCCACGCGCGCGCTGGGGCTGGTCAATGTTACAAGTCGGTGGATCTATAAACGGAAGTCCGCGGCGGACACTGAACGTTGAGCATTTTCGCAATGACGCACCCTGCTACATTGCCGCGTGGCGCTATGCATCTTGGTGGTGCAAAAAGACATGGTTCCACCCATACACCCGACAGTAAAGTCAAGTGCATGCTTGATGCGCAAAATATGTGATGCAGACATGGGCAGTTCGTGCAAACGCCACGCACGCCACGCGCATCCCGTCTCGGGGGTGTCGTTGAGGAGTCCCCTGTCTTCCCCCAGCCATGTTTGGACGGCCTTCGATCCCATGTACTCATGTTGGAAAAGGCCGTGTTGCTTCTTGCTTACAGCCGTCATAACGGGGTCTCTGGCTGTCACGGGGTAACCGTCGCAGCGCCGCGCCAGGCAGAAATATTTTGATGTGGACCCCCTCGACTCCACTCACCCTCAACGGACTCCGCCTCCACTAGCTCGACCTCCTTCCACTCCCCCCTCCCCGCCTTTCGTGGCCCCGTTGCAGCCTTTCGTGACCCCCTCGCTGCCCTTCGTGGCCCCGTTGCAGACCTTCGTGGCCCCCTCGCTGCCCTTCGTGGCCCCGTTGCAACCCTTCGTGGCCCCCTCGCTGCCCTTCGCGGCCCCGTCGCAGCCCTTCGTGGCCGCTCGGTTCCCCTTCGTGGCCCTGTTGCAGCCCTTCGTGGCCCCCTCGCTGCCCTTCACGGCGTTGCAGCCCCTCGTGGCCCCCTCGCTGCCCTTCGTGGCCCCGTTGCAGCCCTTCGTGGCCGCTCGCTGCCCTTCGTGGCTCCATATATATATATATATATATATATATATACATCTATATATATATATATATGCACGCCCTTCGTGACCCCCGCTCATTCGCGCCCGTCGTGGCCCATATGCATGCGCTTCGTGGCCCTGACGTCGCTCTCCGCGGCCCCCTCGCTGCCCTTCGTGGCCCCGTTGCTGCCCTCAGTGGCCCCGTCGTTGCCGTCTGCGGCCCAGTATACGCATACCCTTCGTGGCCCCCGCTCGTTCGCGCCCGCCGTGGCCCCATGCGCACGCCCTTCGTGGCCCCGCTGTCGCCCTTTGCGGCCCCCATCGCGGCCCCGTGGCCCCGTTGCTACCCTCATTGGTCCCGTCGTTGCCCTCTGTGGCCCCGCATTATCAGACCTTCGCGGCCCCCGCTCGTTCGCGCTTTTCGCGGCCCCATACGCATGCCGTTTGTGACCCCGCTGTCGCCCCTCGTGGCCTACTTCGTGTCCTTCGTGACCCTGCTGTCGTTCTCTCTCGCTCTCGCTTTCGCTCGTCGTCGTCGTCGTCGCCGTCGTCGCCGTCGTCGTCGTCGTCGTCGTCGTCGTCGTCGTCGTCGTCGTCGTCGTCGTCGTGGTCGGTCCCCTGTCCGTCCCTCTTGGGGTCGGGTCGACGGTCCGCGGCCGCCCCGCCGATCAGCGCTGCCCCTGGCCAGGCCGACGGTCCGCGGCCGCCCCGCCTCTTGCCGGGGCCCGGCCTGCATTGAAGAAAGGCATACCCCCAAAAGGGGTTCGATCGAAGACGAAGAGGGCGGGCATCGAGGGTTTGGAAAATACGCGTCATTGGACACTCGAGCAGATAAGGGCGAACAGTTTTTACATGATTGTTGTTGTGGCTGTTGATGGTGTTGGTGTTGTTGCTGTTGTTGTTGCTGTTGCTGTTGTTGCTGCTGTTGAATTCTCACTACTGAGAGATAACTATGGTTGGTCCCCCCTCCGGTGACCATTGTGTTTTTCCCGTTGAAGTGCTTCCCCCAGGGCTCGCACCCTGTTTGTTTTCAAGGAAACTAACTCACTAGGCACGATACGCATGCCGTTTGTGGCCCTGCTGTCGCCCTTCGTGGCCCCCTTCCTGCCTTTCGTGGCCCCGATGTCGCCCTCACTCTCGCTTTCGCTGTCGCTTTCGCTGTCGCTTTCTCTCGTCGTCGTCGTCGTCGTCGTCGTCGTCGTCGTCGCCGTCGCCGTCGCCGTCGCCATCGACGTCGCCGTCGCCGTCGTCGTCGTCGTCGAAGTGATCGGTCCCCTGTCCGTCCCTCACCTCGAAGGGGCCTGACCCGCGGGAGATGCTCGTCGTCTGGTCTTCGGCCCCTAACTCGAGCCTCCAGCGGCCGATCTCATCGGCCCAAACAGCCCCAGAACGTTCCCGGCGACGCGCAGCTGCTAGAGAGCATCCCGAAGCCGAAAAACCGCCAGGAGCCGCAGCGGCGCCGCCTCTGGGGTACAGCGCCTGGGCCCCCGGCTGGCCGTCGCCTGGTTTCTTACGACGCGAGCATGTGAGGGCCCCCCCCCTTGCCACGTGCAACGCGCTGCGCACCTGCGCGCCGCCCCCGCACGGCGGACAAAAGGGGAAGCGTTGGGCCTGCGAGCGAGCGCAGCCACTGGAGCTGCTGGAGAGCACCCCGAGGCTGAAAAAACTGCCGAGAGCCGACGAAAACCACCCCCCCTGGCGGCGCCGCCTCTGGGGCACGGCGCCTGGGCCCCCGGCTGGCCGCAGGGCGCCTGAGCAGCCGAGCGGCCCGGCGGGGGGCGGGCCCCCAAGCAAGGCGCGTCGAGGCGCGTCGAGGCGCTGCGGGCCGCTCTGGCCCCCCCCCTCCCCTCCCGCCTCGCGCCCTGCGAACCCAAATCTCCGAAGATGTTTCTCCTCCTTCTCTCCTCCTCCTCCTCCTCCTCCTCCTCCTCCTCCTCCTCCTCCTCCTCCTCCTCCTCCTCCTCCTCCTCCTCCTCCTCCTCCTCCTCAAGGGGCAACGCTAGTCTGGCATTTTTTCATTGATTCTGGCCTCTGGGGCCCCTATCAGGCCCAGGGATCATCAAAAACGGATCCAGGGCGAAAAAACACCCCCAGGGGAAGGGGTCGGCACCTCTGGAGCCGCGGATTTGGAGGATGTCTGGGAAGGTGAGGCGGGCAGGTCGGGGGCTCGGGCGAGGCGGGATAGGGGCCGCTCGTACATGCCCGCGCCGTGGCAGAGATCACGACGGGATGGTTTTGGCCGCCTTCGGCCTTGGGGGGGCCCTCGCCGAGCCCCAGGGCCGTCAAAAAACGACTCGGGGACGAGAAGCTCGCCCTGGGGCATGGGTCGGGACGTCCGCGGACCCCGCATTTCAAAAATCAAGTTATCGTATGCCTGGGTTGGAGGAGAGAAGGGCGGGGAGGGTTCCCCGATTCTCGGGGCCTCGCAGGCGGCGACGGCGACTGCGGCGGCCGAGACGGCAACGGCGACGACGACATGACGGGCGACCGACGGGACGCCCAGGGGCGGGGAGGGGAGCGGGAGAACGAGGGGGAGGTGGGACGCCTTCAGGCGGAGTCCTGGCCACAATGGCGCCCAGGCCTGCGCTGACCGCTGAGGCCACGGAGACGCAAGGAGGCCCCGAGACTGGCCAAGAGGGCCTCTGCGCGCCCGAGAGAGCCCCAAGATGGCCAACCCGAAAGAGCCCCCAGATGGCCAACGAAAGCCGCAGGCGGACCGAAGAGTGCTCGAAGAGACCGCCAAGGATGCCCAGAAGAAGGCCCCGAGAGCGCCTCAAGGCCCCAGGGCAATCCCAAGACGATTCAAGCGAGGTCGAAGAGATTCTAAGACCAGGCCACGAGGCCCATGAGGCCCTAGTGTGCCGTGCAAGATGCCCCCAAGAGAACCCAACTTTGCTGCTACAAGGGACAGCGGAGACTCGCTGGAGGCATCTTCAACGTCCTCAAACCCTGGCGGGACTGGCGTATCCTCCGCAAGATCAAGACTGCAATCCCAATAAATCCTCCCATGGGTCAAACTGCCACCCAGCTATCCCCACCGCGTGGCGAACGTGACCGTGCGCGAAGATCCGCGCCTGGCTGAGCGCCAGTCCTCCGCACCCGCGGCAGAACAAACGCACGGTTAAACCTGCCACGGGCACACACCACCCGAAGTGGATGGACTTCGAAATGCAAGAGAACGACGCCAGCATGCGGGCTCCGAGCAAATGGGCAGGAGGGCACGGGATCGAGCCTAAGGACATCCGTGGGCAGGGCCGAGGCAAGGAGTGGCGCAGCAGCAAGCGGAGGAGCCGAGCCGAGGACAGTCGGGGACAGCGCAGAAACGTGTTTTGTCGCAGCGATGGCGATCGCAAACATTGTTGGAAACCTGAGCGGGGTCACAACTGGGCGGATTGCGCACAAGACAGCGTGGAAAAGAGGAGGACGGCGCAGCGCAGAAACATGCCGCCAGCCCAAGAGAGGACTGGGACGGGGACAGCCCGGGGCAAGGCCCACCCAAGAAAATCGTAACGACCGAGGGCAGAAACGTGCTAGAAACAGCCAGAGGTACGGCCAAACCAAAACAAAAGGCGGACACCGTGGCACAGGGCTGAGTTGAGAGAATCCCTGGACTAGACCGAACCAAATAGATCGGCGGCAACCATGGCACTGGATCGATCCCAGGACAGTTGGAGACAGGGCCACACCAAGTATGTCGGCGCGAACGGATGACAGTGTCTTTCGGCCGAAAGAGAGTCGCTTATGTGCAAGGGCTGCTTTGGGAATCGCATAACACTTGGCTTTAAAACGTCGTTCTGGGAACGAGGCCGAAGGAAACAGAGGGAGCACGAGAACGACAAACGTTTGCAGACTAGCCGCGCTCCAGTGCAGTGTCGCATGCGCCAATCGTTTGGGTCTGCGTAGGCCAGCTGGGGCCCCTCGGGCCCTCAGGCATCCTGGGATCTCGGGGGCCTCTAAGACCGTCTGGCGTCTCCTGGCCTTTCTTGGGTGGCTCTCGAGGCCTCCTTGGGGCTCTCTGGGCACTCCAGGGGGACTCTTGGGCTTCTTGGTGCCATCTTGGCGCCCATTGGGGATCTTTGGCGTGTTCGGGAGGATCTTGAGGCTAGCTGGGAATTCTGGGGTCGCCTTGGGCCGATCTTGGGCCGTCTTGGAGCTGCCTTGGGGGCCAGCTGGGCGCGTATGAGAGGCCGTTGGGCACGCAGTGCACTTTGGGCTCCCTTGAGCCTTGAGCGGTATTATGGGCCAGCTCAAGTCTCTGGGGGTCCATGCGGCGCGAAGTGCGTCACCGGTGTGCCGAATTGCGGCTGCCCAGAGGCGCTCTGGAGACCAGCTGATGGCTTCTGGGGGTCCATTGGATACGACATGTGCCTGGGCTGGGGCTGTACCGAATTGTGGCTCACTTGAGCCGTCTTGGACGCAAGCTGCGAGCCTTTGGGGGCCACGTTGAGCGGAGCGCGTGAGTGGTGTGTCAATTTGGGGCGCCCTTTTAATCGTCGTGGCGGCTGGCAAAGAGCCTATGAAAGGCCATGGGGCACGAAGCGCGTGACGGGTGTGCCGGAGTGGGGCTCTCTAGACGATGAAACGGTAAAGGGCACGAAGTGCGTGAGTGGTATTTCGAATTGAATGAGGCCTCAGCCGAACGCCTCTGGAAGTCCATGATGCATGAAGTGCGTGAAGTGCGTGCCGAATTGAGTCTGGCACGCACAATCCTCAAGCAGGCACGCACGGAAATGCACTCGGAAGGATCTTTGGATTCACCGTCATAGTTTGGACCTGGGACGCACAATCCCCAAGCGGACACGCACGGAATACACCTGGAATAGTTTTGGGACGTACCATTAGGTGGACCTCAGACGAACCATCCTGGAGCGGGCACGCAAGAGATTGGGATCCCTGAGTCAGAGCCCGATCTGGCGACAGAACTTGGCGACCTCCCAGCGAGGGGGTCTGTGGTGTCGAATACTGACTCAACTGCAACTCACGGAACGGCATCCAACACGTACCCTTGCAAGCCGAAGTCCAATCGCATGGGCATCCCCACACGTAACCTCTGCAGGAACCGCTGCAGGCTCAAGCAGGTGCCCAAGGAACTGCGTCAACATGATCCGTCGTCTTTCCCCCGTCCGTCCTTCCTCTCATGCTCCTATCCCCTCCCCTTTTTCTCCCCCCTCCATCCTCCTTCAAGCAGGAGGTTTGGCTCGAGCGGTTTTGCAAACCGGTTCCGCGCCGATCCCCGCCGCGACGCCCGCAAGGGCCGCCATTCGCCAGGCGCGACGCCTGCTTACTCTCCTCCCTCCTACCCCCAGCGGCCTCGTGACGAGCCCGCTCACCATCGCAGAGCGCGCAAACAGCGCGCAGACGCTCGCACACTTTTAAGAGTGCATAAAGCCGCGATGATGCTCTCTCACCACCACTCTTTCCAGGGCCTCCCGCAGCAAGGCGCTGTTCCTACGACCTTGCCCCCGCCTCGCGCGACGCCTCTCTCCCCAACGTCAGGGCTGCAGCAGCACGGCATGGCTACCTCTCCCACGCAGCGTATGGCTGCTCCTCCCTCTCCGTCCCTATATGCCACGCGCCTGCCTGCTGACTTTTTTCCTCCCCCCCAGCAGCCAGTGCACCAGAAAGGCAGCGCCCCTCCCGAGCTCTGGTATTGCCTGCAGTGCGGCCGGGCCAATACCACTTTGGACGTTTCATGCCCCACCTGTTTTCCGACTCGGGCGGCAGGTCCACAGCATGCGACAGCCGGCCCCGCCAAAGGTCAGGAGCAGCACAAGCCCCTGCAAGGTGCGGGCTCCTGGTCGGGCCACAAGGGCCCACGCTCCTTTTCTGGAAGCACGGGAGGGGTACACATGGGCAAAGGCCATGCACCTTCAAACGCGCCATCTTTCGACCAGGTGGCTGCGTGGGCAGCGGAGTACGGCTTGCTCCCCGCACCCCCAGGAGACCACACGGTCCAGCCAGAAGTGATCTCCAACAAGGAGCGCAAGAAGCGGGAAAAGGACGAGGCGCGCAAGGCCCGCGAGGTCCAGCGCAACGATGGGGAAAAGCCCGCCGCAAAGGCTCCTGGCACCCCACACGGAGCCAAGGACACGGGCATCATCGGGCAATCTCCCCGGTCGCAGCCCTCGCCTTTTGCGCCTCCTCCTGAAGGTGAGGCCTCCCCCCCCACACTCTTCGGCCCCGCCTCTGTGCTGCAGTCTCCGTTCCTCATGGCCGACCAAGCCTTCTCTTCTCTCGGCGCGCTGGATCCTGCCACTGAGCTCTCAGTAGCAGAGCTCACAGCGCAATGCCCTATCCTCACCCCTGACGAGGCGCACTCTCATTCGGCCTGGATCTATCCCCCGCTCGAGCCCGACCGCCTGCTGGAGCACCGCAAGGCCCTTGCCATGAGCAAGGACGCGCTGATCCTACAGCTCAGGGCCTCAACCCTCCTAGGACACTCCGATATGCGTATCACCGAGATCCGCAAGGAGATTTCGTTAGTTAATTTTCAACTGGCCAATGCGAGGGGTCCGCTAGCCAAGATCAGCGAGCAAGAGCACGCGGTGGCCTCTCTGCATGCCGATTGCGAGCAATTGGCAGCTAAGCAAGCTCAGGCAGAGGAGCACGTGCGTAACCTCGCCCTGGCCCTTCAAACCGCGCAAGCGGACCTCAGCCAGGCAACTACATTATTAGCCCATTTCAAATCGCAGGCGCCGCCAGTCGCTGCCATCACTGACTCGCTCATGATGGGGGAGGCGGCGGACGAGCC